AGTATTATACAAGGGGATAGTCGACTTAGAATTATATTTGGCTCCAGTGGTTTCTTCATAGTCAATTCGGTCAAATCTCAGTCCAATGAAAATAATAGAAAAAATGAAGTAAATAAAATTACTGCATAGGTACAGAGTTTATTTACAGCTGAAAACATTGTTCTTAATTGCTTCACGTAGAAACTTGACTGTTGTTAAGATATGGAATTTGGTTTGTTGTGGCTGTATTTTAATTTGCTGTTGTGTCTGCACTTTTAATTTGTTGCGCTCACTTTTTCATAAATATTGTTAATTTCATCTGAACTTTTTTCTTTTTCATCATAAATTTCATGATAGAGACATAAAACTTCCTTTACTATTTTTTTACTCTTGTAATTCTCTCAAAGTTTGGATCCATGGCTTGCAAGCAACTTAACAAGAACTTGATTTAGCCCTGTAAAGCATTCAGATAAATGCTTTGTAGTAAATTTTTTATCTGGTTCAATTTCTTTATCTTCCTTCTCTGTTTCTCTTATTTCTTATTTTATTCTTTTTTGTTCTAATTCATTCAACTCTTGAGTTATTAGTTCACTTAGTATAGCAATACAGAGGCTGTTCGCATCTTTTTTAGACTATTTTGCTTTGCTGTACAAAAATCTTCTACTTGGAATTTTTTTAACTGCAACTATATTTTTGAAAGTAAAAATTATGGTTTGCTACTTGACAGTTTTATTTTCATGTAAAATGTCGCTTTTAAAGAAGCAATAGATTGAAGGCTATGTTTGTGTTCTTTCAAGAGAAAATTATTCATATCTAGTTATTAAAAAAACGTTGTGAAAGCCTTGTTTTTGATATTTAAAGCTACAATAGGTAATGTTGTTAAAAACAAAGGTCAAAATTTAGCTTTAAGTGAAAAAACTGTTCCAGATATGTATCCAAAGGAAAACGAAATGTTTCAAATGTTACAAAAGTTAAGGTCTTTAATGTTAAGAGAAAATCCATTAATTCAACGGACAGTTGCAAAATCATTAAAATCTTCAGTGTCAATGGTAAACAAAGTGATTAATGCTGATTTGAATCTTGAAAAGGTGAGAAAACATAATGTGACTTGTCTTTCTCCACAACATATCGCCAAACGCTGAATGTGTGACAAAATTCTTTATGAGAAACATTTATCTGGACAAAAATGGAAAAATGCTTTTACAATAGGAGAATCTTGGCTCTATTTAAAAGACTGCCATAAAAAGAGCTCCATTCATTATCATTAAAGAGGGAAAACAAATCTTAAAACATGGTTCAAGGAATTTGAAAAAAAAAAAAAAAAAAAAAAAAAAAAAAAACTTTTTGTAGGGGATTTAGAATTGTTGCTGTTTTTTCATATAACAGCAAATTAAAAATAAAGGAAGTAGAGAAAAATGTTAAGATCAGCTTCACATATTATCAAAAACATATTTTATACCCAATTTTCAAATATGAAATACCCTCTTTTTACACGCAGTGTGATTAATCAGTAGAACTGCATCAAGACAAAGCAAGCAGCGACATGGCAAAATCTGTTAATTTTCTGGACGAAGTAGAACAAGAAATGGGTATTAAGCCATACCTTTCACTCGTATTCCTATTAAAATCCCTGATCTATCACCAATGTTTTTTACACTTTTGAACTTTTAAAAAGCGAGTTCTCAAAACATTGACCTGCAAACTTTTCAGACTTTGGAAAGCTGTTTGAGAGCAATAGGATAAAATACCTCTTCTGATTTTACAAAAAGCTTTGTCTTGGACATAACAGTGTAAAAAGATAGTGAAGAATAAAGGTTATCAAGTAGAACATTTAAAAAATAAAAATTTTAAGTAAAATATTTCTGTATTCCTTTCTTGAACATAACAATAACACTTTTACAAGCAGTAGCTAGACTTTTAATGAACTTCAAAATATTAAATTGTTTTCAGAAGTCACATAGCAAAAGCTATGTTAGTTACTACAATAGCCTGGGCAAATGAAGCACACAGGTAATTTGCCTGAAGTATAGTAATGCAGCCTTGATACATAGGCTGGATTATGCAGTTATGTTTGCGCACTAGTAAACAATATTCACATTGAGATTTATATCTGCTAAATGTAAATGATGGCCTGGTGCATTATCAGGAGTAATAAAATTTCGAGAGGAATGCCTTTTTCCAGGTAATACTCTCATGTTTAATATTCAAATAGAGGGTGTGTTATCCATGATTTGGCATAGGAGAAAAAATAAATTAGCTCAGTGTATGCTTATAAATGCCTTTGGATTTTTTGCATGATGAATTAGGAATGGCTTTAATTTAAAACCTACAATATTACAATTAAGCAGAAGAGTTAATTGATCCTTTTAAGTTTTAAACCATGGCATATGCTTTACTTTTCGATCAGTGTAGGGTCTAGCAGACATTCATTTCCAGAACAAATCAAGTTCATCAACAATGAAAATTTGTTCAGGTTTGTAACTATCATTAACAATTACACCATCAAGTTCTAGATTGGTGCTTCTTTCTGTATTTGAATTAGCCACATTGCATATTACATGAATATTATTCTGTTGAAATCTTTGAAGTGTGAGAAGTAACCTGTGCTGGCTATAAAATTTTAGCTGTAGTTGTCACCAGCATGATCTTATAAAGACTTGAATAAATCCCATGCATTTGTGATTGGAAGTCAGGAATAATGGCACTCATTTTTGCAGTTGGTAAGTCAACGATGTATTTTATAAATTCTTTGTTTAGTAATGGTCATCATTTGCACTGAAGATATTAATTTACAGATTTACAAATTCTTTATCATCCTTCAAATTTATTGACAGTGTGGAATCATATCACATATCAGCTTCTTATTATGTGAAATCACATTTTCTCCTATCTTCTACTTTAATTTTCATGTGTACCTTAAATCATTTGCCTTTCTTTTTAAGCTTGTTGATTACTGCTGGTGTTGATTTTCTCTTTGGAGCCATTTTATAAATTAATTAATCACATAATTGTATAAATACAAAGGAAAACATTTGCTGCAAAAACTGACATACATATGCTGACTGAATGGCAAAGTGAGATAACAGCTGTGAGCAGTGCAGTAAAATGTGCTATTACAAAAGAGGTTTTACAATCAGTTAGGAGTAAGGCAAATAGGTTGTAAGTCAATGGCCACCTGTATATGTGTATATATAGTTCAATTATTAATTAATTATATGTAAATCCTATTTATTGATTGATATTAGCTATTTAATAAATCATGTAAAACCTATATGACACTTGATTTAATGGATGCGTGCTACATTAAAAAATAACTTGTCATTAAAGATTTAAAATTAAATAATGAATATTTAGTAAAATTGAGCAACATTAAAAACCATATTCAAAGTTAGTCAAGCTGTTGAACTGTTGGCTCTTGATAAACCAAAAATGTTCATATATTAAACCCTGAAGATTTTTTGCAATGAGCACATAAGCAAGACTTGCAATATTTGATATTTACAAATTTTAAAAAAGTTTGACTTATACGGATAACTGTTAGAATCTTTTCTTATCATGAAATAATTTTAAAAATGTAGTTTTTATAGTTTTTGGTAAAGTTCAGAATTGTGACATTATTAATATGATTTGAAATTGATGCTGAGGAACATTAATGGATTCGATCAATTATATAATGTGGTTGATAAATTTTTATCTGCAAATATTGCCCATTTAACAAAAGTTTGTTTTATGCCGTTTTGCTCTTATAAATGGCATACTTTAATAACAATTTTATTTTAACAGATGTATGCAGCAATAGCAAAAATATCATTCAGCATTTTTGGCCTCGTGTAGTCTTCAGCAGGCCAAAATTCTGATGCCAAGTGTCTCCCTAAATTCCGAAGGCTTTGTCATCTGTTAATTCTGTTGCTCGGTAAAAATTTGCCTACCCTATATTCTGCCACTCTGAGTGATTGCACCAGTCCTGGGCATAACTAAATAACAAATCAATTATTGTCAGTTCAAGCAGCACTAAATATAGTTTGTGGCCTATTTTTGGATTTACAAAATGTCTTTGTTGCATATGATTTTATGATTTGTCAATTATAAAGTTGAAACAAAATTTTCTAAAAATGTCTGTTTCATGTTGACATCTGTGTACATGTATTCACAGGCATTAAAAACTATTGATCATAGCAAAAACATCTAATGTAGTGCAGGGAATCCTAACCTTATTTTGGCTGACAGCACACTAAACTAAATGCTTGGGATGTTGTGACATGACTATTTGAATTGTTGTATGTCATGAATGTGGTTTTATTGTTTACAGGTTAAAACACACGTCATCTTCAAAATTCTCCAGCATCTCTGTTTTCATGTCATTATTTTTCTTTTCGAAAATTTTACTTCACGTGATGTAATAATACTGTAGGCAGGAGCAAAATTTGTATTGTACTAGTTGCAATGCTAGGATATTGGTATCACTTCAGATAATGTGAGTTCAGATAGTGTTTGAAATTTTGCTTTTGCAATAAAATTGCTGAGTAATTTTTTAAACTTTGAAAATAAAAATTGCTACTGTAATAAAAGACTGCTCATTATGGAAACAAACGTAAACTGCACACTAAATATTATTACAAGTAGTGTCAAGTTTGTGTGCACCGTCTCTAAATTAAGTAATGGCTTCATACTAAATATGCAGTAGCATTTTTTATAGAGAATTTCTGAATAAAATAAAATGCAAATATAAATTTTAAAATTATTTTCAGTGCACCTCATGGAACTCTGCAACACAGTTGTAAGACTGAATGTTTGTTGAATGTTTTTGCAACTAAAAATTTTATTTTACATCCTGTTATGAGATATTAGATTTTTCTGTTGCTGAGAAAATTTATTGAGCTTCCTGAAATGGAGGGAGCTCTGTCTCCCGATGCTTTATTTGAGCATTTTAGAAAATTTGGGTTTTTAGTGTTTTGTCATTTTATTTATTTATTTTTTCCTGTATGAAATAATTGAATTTCACAATTTTCTTTTCCTTCTAGTTTGACAGATGTTCATGAAAACGTATTGAAGATCTTAATGGATTTTATATGCCAGCTCGTAAGTCGTGGTGACTTACTTTTAGCAAGAGCATTAAGGAAAAAAGTTGTAGAGAAATGTTATCTTAAGCAAAGAAGTGTTCTAAATATGCCTGTGCTTTTGCCTTCAATGGCTGTCACAACTCACAAAGCATCCTTATTAGATTTCAAATCTGAGAATATAGCAGAACAAATGACTGTATTAGATGCTGATCTTTTTCAAAAAATTGAAGTGAGTAACTTTCTTTGGTTTATGACTTTTCTTATTTTTCAAATAATTGCTTTATTATAATTAGGGATACTGTTACACTACTAAATGCTTCTAAATATATATGAAATTTACCTGAGAAGTAACCGTACATTGCTATTTCCTTGAAATAGTTTTGAGGGTGACTGTCATTAATGCCTTTTCTTCAAGAAATGAGGGATTTTTTCACTTTTTGAATGTTTCACGGTCAATTGTGGTGAACAGCGCATAAAATTTTTGTGACCAGATCATTTGGGCGATATGACAGGCTTCTCATTAATTAAACTGTAATTAGCCCATAACATCTAATTACAGTATTTTATAGGGTAGTTGCCACTATCAACTTTACCATGCTTTTGGAAATGCTGCAAGGTACTGAAAGGTGAATTATGAACATTTTCACAAATTCACGATAGAGGACATTTTGTGCAGCTTCTGGGGAATTTTACATGTAGAACTAGCAGATTTCCCTACCTTCATTAAAGTTTTCCTCTCTCTGCTCCTGATTTGCATTTGATGGCAAGTTAACTTTATGTCTATAATGTGGCATTAATTTTTGCATTTATAAAAATCTGTGTAGCAGTTATGCTGGTTATCCTGAGTAGAGTTGAATGAGTGTTTTATGATCTTCTGCTGTGTTTTTTATAACAAACTGATTAGCAAAATATTTGAATTCATCAAAAGAATGATTTACTTGTATATTTTAATACTGTAGTGTTCATATGCAGGTGATTTTAGAAGAATTTTGAGCCAGAAGGAGCTAGATCCTGTAAAACTGCACAAACAGTTATTTTTCTTTTCTTCTTATACTTTTTTGTATTTCATGCTTTTTGAACTCTTTCTTCAGTAATGAAAAGTATTCAAAATGTAGTATCCTTTATGTTTAAACCAACAAATAAATCAGATTCACTAAAGGTGATTGAATTACGGCAAAGCCTCGAGGGCTCTCTGCCTAAGGGGAGGGGTGCCTTCGTGGAGGACTTTCTAAGGGAAACTGGCTCATATACATGTTACACATGGGGAAAACCACGAAAAGACCCATGCAGCCAGCCTGTTTGTGGAATTTGAACCTCGGACCGAACTACCAGTGTTCAGCGACTTTACCGCTCGGCCGCTGGTGGGCCCAGATTTGCTAAAAATGTTGTGCCAAAATCTGTTTGCTTAAATTTAATTGTAGCAATTTTCATTAAATTAATTTGTTACTCTGTTATGTTACTTAATCTTCATTTTGCACAAAAAAATTGTAAATGCATTCCCTGAACAACCTGTAAAAAGCAACAACATAAATGTTCATAAATAGTTTCTTGGGATAGCCATTTAAGAGAAGTCACCTTAAAATACCTGCTGAATGTGAATCATCCAGTTTTATAAAAATATTTTTGCTGCTTCTCTTTGTTTTCCAGAAATCTTGCTAGGAATAACATTATATTCACATGAATAGAAGGAAAATTTGTAATTACATTTTGATCACTCTCCTTTGGTGTCTGAAACTTTTTAGACCGCAAATTAGCAAATCAACATTCAAATTAAACTAGAAGAAATGATTAATCTTTCATAGATTTACTTGTTATTATAATTTAGGGTCTGGTAATATATTATTTCCTTTTGGTAAAATATAAAAATACTTTGCAAAACAGTTCAAAACAATTAAGCTTACTAATGCAACTGAAAAAAAAATTCATTAAAATAAAATGAACTCCAGGAGTTGACATAAAACATGCATTATTGTAGGTTTGAAGATTAAGTAGAACCTCTTTCTTCCTCAGCAAATTTGAAAAAAATGAAATCCAGGGAAACGTGCGTATATGTGAATCCTGAAGCTTTGAGAAATTTGTATTTTAACTGCTTTGTCCCAGTTTCTGTTTTTAATTTTGCATTTTCGTTAGCTAATAAATTTGGTGTGAACTTTTGTCACCTTTAAACAAGCATTCTGTTACCATTATCATTATTATTCTTTAAATTATTACTTTATTTGTAAACCCCTTGAAATAATAGTATTATAAAAATCATGATTTGAAACAGTCTGTAAGTAAACTGCATTTTGATATACTGTCTTCTACATAATAGAGTTTCATCTTTAGTACAGTGTATATTGTGTGTTATTCTTTAACACAGGTTTTAAATTTAGAAATGGCCCATTAAGCATTAACACTATTTATGAGTAAGTGATGTATGGGAATATGGGAAATTTTTTTGTTTACTTCTAAAAAATCAAGGACTTGAACCTGACTTAGAATTTTGAAATACAATTATTCAAAATTTCGATTTCGATTTTCCTGGAGAATATGTTTTATGCAAAAATATAATTCATAGTATTTTTTTAGTCTGCATGCTTTTTTAGAAAGTCTGTCAGAAAACAGTGTCATGTTCTTGTGAGACATGCAAATAGGAAGTTAAATGGTATTCTTTGTTTTGCTAGAATTAAAGTGGGACCTTTCCTTTTTTGTGCACATAATAATGTTTGATGAAATATAAAGTTCATTTGGAATTACTGAACTGAGTAAATATTGCCCATATTCTGATCTGAAAAATCTAAATTCAATACCTATTGTTTTGTCAGCTGTTTAGACATGTATGTTTAAATACTCTGTTATGCAGATTAAAGGCCAAATATATTACAATTGCGAAGTCAATGTATTAAAATTTGTGATAAATGAATGTTGAATAAAAAAGATATGAGATAAAACTCATTGAATACTGCAGAAATGTTCTGAAGTTCAGGGTTGATATTGTTATTTTTTAATATTATGTTAAGTTTGCATTAGTTGCCTATTGTTTCGAATATATATGTGCATGTATATATGTAGATGTTCGAAATGACAAGCAGTTTCTAAATATCATCAGTAAAAAGTACTAAATATTTTGATAAAAATATTCACTCTCCGAATGCATGCAGATTTTTTTAGGTGTCTTAATTTAGAATTTGTAAAATTCAATTCAGTTATTGTCTTGTTTTCCTTACAATTCTAATATATGCAATGCATTTCTGTTATAATAAATTAGAAAGCATTTTATATTTATATTTGATCACAGTCTTCGTATTATAGTTCTAGATTTCCTGGTTGCTCTTTCTTTTCAAAGACTTCTTCATATATATCTTACAAGATAAATTATGTTGAATTTGTTAATTTGAATTTTTTGAAGGTATGTGCAATTGGAATTTGATTCATGTATGCACATGTACTTGGCATGTTTCAGCAAGTGATTACAAAAATAAATAAAAATGTGATAGTGGTTGAAAATTTTCAGTTCTCATTTATATCCAAAGAAAGTTAAGATAGATATTTGCATTATGGGCAGCTTGTCCTGTTGTGTTTTGTTTGGGGGAGGGAAGCATTTTATGTACTATATCATAAATTTAAATGTTTAGTACACCTCAAATATTTTTGCAGCATATCTGAAAGTAATGTAGTACAATATTCTAATTTACGCATCTACAGTAATATACTTCTATAAAAGTACTTTTAAAGATGTTATATATTTTCTTACATCATGTAACCATTATGCACATTTTTTAAGACCTTTAAGGTAACCTTATCTAGGATTTTGTTGAATGAGGTTGCAGTCTGTCTTATTTTTGATATTATGAAATGGGTGCAAGTTATATAATGCTATTTGGTCATATTTATACATTGAAGTTATAGTGACTTGCATTATGGCAAAAATATGTCTCATATTTAGCCTCAGACTTTAAGGGCATTTTTGGTCCTACAGCATAAATATAAGGTTTCTAATGAACAATTGCCAAATATGGTTTTGTTGAAAATTTTGATGCTAAAAGCAGTTAGTGATTGTAATCAACTGATTGTATCCATGATTGCTTGCTCCGTGTCCTTTTTTCCATATTCTACAAAGTAATTGAATTTATGATGAAAAGTATTAGCATAAAATTTTAATTATCCAAGTTTAATTTTTTTGTCTTTGAAAGATAATTAAACTGTTTTATTATTTTCAGATTCCTGAAGTACTTCTGTGGGCTAAGGAACAAAAAGAAGATCTTAGTCCAAATCTTACTACATTCACAGAGCATTTCAATAAAATGTCATATTGGTAAGTTAAGCTGCGTAACACGGTTTTTGTTTTAGAGAAACAGTGTATGAAATTCATATTTATTTTTTAAATTTCACTTTCTCAATCTGCGAGATGCTATGGAATCACAGTGGGTAAAAAAGTGTGATCACTTCATTATGAGTTGATCTTCTGCCCATGTTTATCCTACTCATTTAGTTCATTATTTGAAGCCTGTGACAGAAATGTTGCAACTTTTTTGTGAACGTTAAAGAATCTTGCGGAATTCTTTTTATCACAAATTTATCAAAGCAAGTGTAGAAAAATGAAAGCAGCTGATAAGAGTTTTGTTCTTCTAAGGCCTATTTTGGGATATATGCTGGGGGAATCTTATTACGTTAAAGCATGTCAGGCTACTTGTCCTTACAGAGATACCTTTGTGAACAGTTTTCTGATGGAAATGACTCATGAATGAAGGAAGCTATGAAAATATGCTGCTAAAATATTCAGTTGATAAAAGCTGGACCTGGGACAAACTACTAGCAGTGAATGATTTTAGTCAAGTAGTCATTGGTTTGGCACATATATAATACTTTTAATCAGCCTTTCTGTATGAATGTTGTAGAAGAAAATGAGGAAGCTTAGAATTTAATTCAGAGAGTTAGCAAAGTGGATGGTGTTTTAATTTTGTAATGCTATAGAGAAGTTTAGTTGAAGAATATTTAATAGTGCATTTTGCTGCAAACAGAATAACCTAATGCCCCTCAGGGGCTCACTCTTGTGAGTACGGGTGTGGCAATCCCGAGGTACCCTAGCCCTTCAGGGGATCATCGTCTTGGTGAGATGGGTGTCACGATCCTGGAGCCCCAGTGATCTATCCTCTTTTCCGTCTCCTTTCCTCTTGGCTGGAATTTTTTCCTTCTGTTCTCCCTTGTGGTTTCTCTCTTCGGAGTTTGGGACTCATCACAAGAGACTAGAACAGCCCTTGTGTCTAGTTTTCGAGTTTTGAGAAAACTGCCCATGTGTTTGCCGTGCATGGAGACCTGTGTCGCTGGAAAGGAGGGTCCTGGTAGTTGAGGGGCGAGGTACTGTCCCCAGCACACTACTTTGGCCTCTGCTTCAGCTAAACAGGAGGCACCTTAGTCGTCCTCACGGGTGTCAATCGGTTGGTCACTAGTCCTTGTGTCAGTGGCTTGGGAATAAGCTCTCGGGAGTACCTGCTTTCGGGAAAGCCGACTGTGGCCTTCAGTTTGTGTATAGGTCCGGCTAGCCCTAAACAAGAATCTGTGTTCCCTTGTTGGGCTACGTGGTGGGCGGGGCCGTCGGACCCGAATCTTTCCTCTCTTCGGTATGGCAAACTCTCATATTTATCTCATTAAAGTCTTCGAAGTTAGCCAAGTCGGTCAAAGAACTAGTCTTGAAAAATCTGCTAAAAAGGTTTGTACAGATGCAAATGCTAATAATCCTAACAATAGTCCCCGTTTCCTTGTTGTCTCTAGTCGTTCTGGCGAGCTGCAAAAGGTGTCTCCTTTTGTTATAAATAAATATATCCATTCTTGTATTGGTGAGCCCAGAAATATTAAGCGTCTCCGCTCTGGAGACTTGCTGATTGATACAACTTCGGCCACACAGTCTGCTTCCTTACTTCAAATAACTAAACTTGGTAAAGCAACTGTCACTGTAACAGGGAATAAGACATTGAATTTTTCTTGCAGCGTAATCTCGGAAGTCGACCTTCTGTCTGTTCCTGAAGAAGAGTTTGTTTCCGAGTTAGCTGATCAAAAGGTTTGTGCTGCAAAGCGGATCAAGATGCGTAAGGAAGGTCAGTTGATTAACACGAAACACGTCATCTTGACCTTCAAGTCGCCTGATCTGCCAAAGAATATCAAGGCTGGTTATCTTAATTGCCCCGTAAGACCGTATATTCCAAATCCTATGCGATGCTTCCAGTGCCAGTGTTTCGGCCATTCCAAGATGCCCTGCCGTGGGAACCTGACTTGCGCTAGATGTTCGTTGGTTGGCCACGATAGCAAAAATTGCACTGCTGCGGGGGCACTGTGTATAAACTGCAAATGCGACCATCCAGCATTTTCCCGATCATGCCCAAAATGGAAAACAGAAAAGGAAGTACAGACGTTAAAAGTCACTAAGAACATCTCGTATGCTGAAGCCAGAAAACTAGTTCAAAGCACACAGCACCAAGCAAGCAAATCATATGCCAGTGCATGTAGCATAACCACCCAAACCTCAGTAAGTACACAGACTGCACAAAATAAAATCTAGCAACCTGCAAGCAAGAAAAAGGAAAATCCAACACACGTTGTACAAAATAAAGAAATAGTTATTCAAAGGAAACTAAAAAATGTCCCTTGAAAATCAATTAACAAAAATAGAAGTCCCAACAGTTCTGTAGATGAAATAATTTCTGAATCTGAAAATTCAGATAGTATGGAATTGGAAGAGGGTCTGGAAGTTCCCGAACATCTGCTTCCGCGCAAAACTAAAAAGCAACACAGAATGAACATCAAACATAATGGCCACCCTCGTCTCATGGAACTGTCGCGGTTTCCACTGAAATTTCCTTGACATCAAAGCTATGATCAATGGTTATCATCCTGTGTGCTTGGCAGTACAGGAAACATATCTGAAACCAGATCAACAAGCAAAACTTCGGAGGTCTTCTTTTGTTAGGAAGGATTATCTTGCAGGTGAACGTGCCTGTGGAGGTGTACGTCTCCTCACCTCACTGAACTATCCCTCAAGTTCCTTTCCTTTGACCACATCTCTCCAGGTTGTCGCTGTACAAGTAAATTTTCATATTGTAGTTTCAGTTGTTTCTATTTGTTTGCCTCCTAATGAACACATTGATCATTGAGATTTAAATGACCTTGTAGTGCAGCTGCCTGAGCCTTTTATCATAATGCAATATTGTAATGGCCATAGTCCCTTGTGGGGAAGCAAACACACCAATTCATGAGGAAGACAAATTGAGCAGATAATGGAAGATCAGTGCCTTTGTCTTCTGAATAATGGGCAGGATTGAACCTACAAGGACATTCCATGCTCTTGATCTAGCCATCTGTTCACCATCTGTGTTGCCATTCTGCAATTTAAGTATTGGAAGTGATCTTTACAACAGTGATCATTATCTCATTCTTGTATCTTTTGCACAAAGAGGAGCACACTCCATGTCGAGACTCCTTCGGTAACTCGATAGGGCAGACTGGGAACTCTTCCTCTGCAGAGTTCACAGAGAAAATGGTAGAAGATGTGCTTATTGATGATGCAGTGGAAGCAGTCACAACTGCTATTACTCAGACAGCTATGCTCTCCATCTCTAGAACATCAGGAAAAATTCCAAAGTATTTGAAACCATGGTGGAGTCATGACTGTCATGAAGCACTGAAAAAACGGAAAAAAGCATGGGGAATTTTTTGCGGATACCCTACTCTGCGAAACCTTATAGTGTTTAAAAGAGCCAAAGCAAATGCTCAAAAAGTAAGAAGGCAGAGCCAGAGGGATTCCTGGATATCATATTGTATTATCAATAATATCTTCTATGCCTAGTAAGTGGGTTTGGGAAAGAGTTAGAAAAGCATGTGGAATATACAAAGACTACTCACTTTCCTTTTTGGAAAAAAGATGTCCGAGTGATTAGCTCCATAGAAATTGCGAATACTATTGGTGAGACATTTGCTGCCATTTCTTCCAGCAGAAACTATTCACCTGCATTTCTCTCTATCAAGCAGCACTCGAAAAGAAATCTCATCGCATTCAACTCTTCCAAATCTGAACCTTATAAGAGAGACTTTACTATGCTTGAATTAAGGAGAGCTTTGTTGCAGACACATAGGTCTTCTCAAGGTCGTGATGGCATGAATTATGAAATGCTGAAGCATCTGTCCTAAAAGCACTGCCTGCCCTTCTCTTTCTTTCCAGTAGAGTGTGGAAGGAGCATACTTTTCCCAGTGCATGGAGGAGAGCTGTTGTAATTCCTATTGCTAAGCCAGGGAAAGATAAAAGGAATCCCTCCAACTCTTGGGCAATTACCCTTACAAGTTGCGTATGCAAGCTGTTTGAAAAAATGGTAAACAGCCACCTAGTCTACTTCTTGGAAAAGAATAATATTATTTCGCCTTATCAAAGCAGTTTTTGAAAGGGGAAAACTACCATAGATAATATGCTCCTCTTAGAGACATCCATTCGAAAAGCTTTTGTAAAAAGAAGACACCTTGTCTCGGTATTTTTCGACATTGTGAAAGCTTATGATAAGGCATGGTGATATGGTATACTTTGGGATCTTTGCGAGAGTGGCTTGTGTGGCAACCTACCAATTTTCGTTCAGAATTTCTTGAACACTAGAACTTTTCAAGTAAGGATTGGCTCTGTTTAGTTTGATGTTTTTGAACAGGAAGAGGGTGTGCCTCAAGGCTGTGTGCTTAGTGTAACCCGTTCAGTTTTAAAAATAAACTCTGTATTAAAAGAACTTCCTCCTACCATCTTGGGATCTCTTTATGGTGATGATCTACAGATTAGCTGTCGAGGGCAGACATGAGATACATAGAAAGGCAATTGCTGATGGCTCTGAATAAGATCCAGGAATGGTCAGACAAACAGGGGTTTACTTTTTTGAAACAAAAAACTTTGTGCGTGCACTTTTGTAGGAAGCGAGGTCTCCATCCTGAGCGTGAGTTATATCTGAATGGTACAAATACACTGACTGCCAATAAGTATTTGGACACCTATGCAAATGACAATATCTGCAGTCCTAAGGTACGTCGCGGACTCCGCCGGTATATATCATGTAGGAAACAGCATCGGCTTTAGTTGCATGCAAGATGCCTTGCAGTTCGGAGCTCTCTGATTTCGAGAAAGGTATAATTATCGGGTATCACAAATGTGGCCGATTCTTAAGGGTCATATCTAGCGATCTGAAGTACCCAAAATCGACAGTGGCCTATGTGATTAAGAAGTGGAAGGTGAGCGGTGATTGTCGGAATGTGCCCCGAGTCGGCAGACCAACGAAACTGGGAGATAGAGAC